TTTTATCTCATCATTTTTAATCATTTTAAAATGTAATTTCAATCTTCCTGTGAAATGGCAGACTTCTCAAATTGTTTAGTCCGCTTAAACCCCGCCCCTCCACAATCACTTTTTTTTTTTTCAATAATCTGTTACACTCTGTAGGATTTCTATCGAACAGACACAGATACGCCATTGAATCAACTCATCACGAGGTCTAAACTAATCATCACTATCACGTGACGTCAATATTCTGAGTCAGTTCCTGTCAGCGCCTGGTCCTTATCTACTTAGAAGAGGGATAATAACTAACTCAATCAGGAGAACGACAATAGATCTTTTCTTACAACACTCTCCAAGTAGATATAAATGCATACCGGAGATCTCCAAAATGGGGCGTGAACTCCAAAAGTGGGCAGAACCTCCAAAATGGGGCGGGGTCTTGCTTTATTCCAAGCAACGGGGGCGTCCCGGGGCTCGAAATTCGCAGGGTAGGACGGGGTAGCGACGCTGGGTGTAACTAAAAAGATGCCATTGTCCGGTGAGGTCCGGTTGGGAAGTTACGGAACAATCCCATATCGCATAATCCCATATAACCCAACAGTTAATTATTAACTGTTTATCTCCTGAACTGCATCTTTCTTTACCACGCTATTCAGCGCCAATCCCACCGTGCAGTCAATTTCACTGGTTAAGGTTAGGGTCAGGTGTGGGGAAGGTTTAGGGGTTAGCATTTTTTGTAGCATACATAAGGAAATCAACACTTTAATTGACACAACCAATAAAATCTTTAGAATCAGCTGTGGGGCGGAGTTTGCACTGAAGTGGATTGGGGGAAAAAAATTGCACATGCGTGTCACGTGCCTGTCTGTCAATGGGAGGAAGCCACGCCCTATTTTGGAGCTCCCACCCCGTTTTGGCGTTCCCGCCCCCATTTGGAGATCTCCAGGCTGCAGTTATACTTCTCACACGGGCCGAGGAGAAGCACCTTGTTTAGTCCGCTTAAACCCCGCCCCTCCACAATCAAATTTTTTTCAATAATCTGTTACACTCAGATGTCTGTCACAATACAGAAGAAAAGATCTGTCGCTACTTTAGTTTCATCACGACTTTAAGATAATATTGCAATGCCATATGTACTGTGAAAGAATGCATTTTTATTTGAATATATAATATATGAATTTATTTATATAAATAAAAAATATTTTTATAAAAAAAAACTGACCTTTTTCCAGTGATCATGTGATCAAAGGCCTGGTTAACCTGATCTAGAGTCAGTCTGTGTGTCACAAACTCATCCAGCAGAAGCTTCCCGCTCATATAGTCTTGAACAAGTCACCGCCTCAACACTCTTCCAACCTGTCAATCAGAACAACAACAGGTTAATTACGGTCAAATTATTAATTTTTCACTTTAAACAGCTCACACTACACTAAATACAGGGAAAGTTGACCTGGCATTTACCTCCAAAATAAGTGCCTTTCAGAGTTCTTTCTATCCAGGGGGGCCAGAGAATGTTCACCTCAATCCAACCCACAATCACACAGATCCCCCCTGCAGGACTGCACGCTTCCACAGCAGCCCTCTGGTCAGAGGAAATTGTAATAGTTCAATTAACCACAGGGCACATACAGTAAATGACTTTCGTCTACATGGCTATTTGACTTGCTTATATAAATGACACTGAAGTTAGAATACTTTTGAAAATTACAGCTCTACTAATAAATTACAGATATTGGAATAATAATACACACTGATTATTGGAACACACACTCAAGAGAGAAGTCAACGCTACCATTAGTCAGCTCCCTCAGCACCTCCTGAATGGGTTTACTGTGGTCTTTAGGGTTCACAAACTCAGTTGCTCCAAAAGTCTTGGCAATCTCAGACTTGTCTGGGTTGATGTCAACGGCAATGATCCTGGAAGCACCGGCAGCCTTGCATCCCATGACAGCTGCCAGTCCAACAGCTCCCAAACCAAACACCGCACATGTAGAGTCAGATTCTACCTGTGGAAGACAATGCCAAAAAATATAACACACGCTACACGCTGGTGTGATGTTATTTCTATTTTACGTATTGCTTTATATTCAATTGGAAATCAGACATCACACACACTTTGCCTGTGTTCACTGCTGCCCCATATCCTGTAGACACTCCACAGCCCAGCAGACAGACTCTGTCCAGTGGAGCGTCTGGGTGAATCTTGGTGACATTGTCCTCTGGCACAACAGTGTATTCAGAGAAGGTGCTGATACCAATAAACTGGTAAATCTGCTGATTCTTGCAGGTGATCCTACTGGTGCCATCTTCAAGAACACCCTGTTGAGTTTTCTCCCTGGGAAGGAGAGAACACTACAGTTAACCTCTATTCAAAAGCAGATGTTAAAAATACATAGTATTTACAATAAATAAATAGTGATTTTATTATTATCATTAGTATTATCATTAGTAGTAGTAGTAGTAGTATTCTAACCAGTTTTTTGTACAGAGGTTTGTCTTTGAACTCAGGCAGCGTTCACATTGTCCACACGGTGGCAGGATCAAAGGAATTACTTTATCTCCTGCAGATATATTAAAATAAAGTGTTCTGAAATGCTTACACACTTCTACATTCATGTATCTAGGAAGAACTTTAATTTACAGTATAAACATTTCATATCTTGTTAGAAGTAAGAAGATTAAAAGTGTTTATGATGGATTTTTTGGTTTACCTTTAGACACCTTTGTGACACCTGGGCCAACACTCTCCACAATTCCAGCCCCTTCATTTCCCAGGATCAAAGGAAAAGACCATGGCTTCATTTTAGCAACATCATACAGGTAAATCCAATCTGAGTGGCATACTCCAGATGCTACTATCTGAAAAGAGAAAATACTTAATATTAGTGAAATAAAATAATACTTGGTCCTTTGAGAGCACAATAAAAAAAGTTGTAATACAAATATGAATTAGTAATTTTAAAAGTAATTTTAAATAATGGAGAAGAAATATGTGAAAGAAATATTCAAGAAATATGTGGTTATTCTCTTACTCTCAGGCCTATTTTTAAGTTGTCTTTTAATTTTAAGTCTACATTTATATCTAGCCTAACATGACAAATATAGTGTCATGGATCTACCTTAATGCGTACTTCATGTGCTTTGGGAGGGGCAACCTCCACCTCCTCAATGGAGAGTGCTTTTTCTGCTTCCCAGGCCACTGTTGGCTTGCACTTTATAACCTTAGAGAATAAAATTAAATATATGCACTACCATTCAAACGTTTAGGGGCGGTAAGATTTTTTGTTTAACACTTTCTTTCAACAATGATGCATTAAATTCATCAAAAATAACAGATAAGACATTTATAATGTTAAGAAAGATTTTTATTTCACATAAATGCTGTTATTTCTGTTCATCAAAGAATCCTAAAAATGAATCATGGTTTCCACAAAATATTTACATGCAGCACAACAGTGCAGTTTTGAACACTGAAAATAATAGAAAATATTTATTGAGCACCAAATCAGCATATTAGATGGATTTCTGAAGGATCATGCTGTTGTTTAAAATTGCAATATTTCTTTTTGATAAAAAAAAATCAGCCTTGTTGAGCATTAGAGATTGTTTTCATTTGCTACAAAAATACATTCATTTCCTGTCATGTCCTTATCTTACCCTCAGTTTCCATGGCAACGAGACACTTTTGATATAGTGAATCTTTCCACTGTGGTCTTTCGTCTGCTATAGACAACATTGCAGAGACAGAACATTTATGGCAGTTAAATTGCTGAAACTAAAGCAGAAATAGTCTGATGATTATACAAAAAAAAAAAGATTATTCATGTCAAGAATCGTTCACTGCCTACTAATTCTAGTACTCAAGTGTGCTACTAATTTCTATTTGCTTTAGTTCAACATATAAAAACAACATTTTAACATTCCAAAAGACATTCAGAATGTCTCAGAAAAGGAGATGCATTGTATTATTGCTCTTCGCTCACTCAATGATTAAGCGATAAGCAGTGTTGTTGGTACTCTTCTGCTTTGAATATTCAGAATTTGGGACGCTGCAGGCCAAACATCATGTGATTGGCTAACCATCCTCCTTCTGTGCAAGGGTGGTGGAATCAAAACAAGTTGGAACGTGATCTCCATCTTGTGGAGCTGTTTGGAAACGACGTTCAACTTAAAGCAAAAACTCATCCCAAAATGTCATTTTTTGTACTCATTTATACCCTCAGTTACTTGGTCTTATAGCGACTTAGGAGTCCTCTTCACTACTCCTAACATTTCACAGATTCAGGAGCTAGTTTTAGAGCTAAAACACTTTGTGAAATACTCTTAGAGCAAAAATGTAGGAGTCCTACATTTAGGATTGACATGCCCATTATTTTTAAGATTTTCTCTTAAATCAGTGAGTTATGATCTACTTTTATCCTTAAGATGTTTTGTGAATACGGGCCCTGGTTTACAACAAACCACTTGCCACAATAACAAATGTAGTGCTTATACCCTGAGTGAAGGGAAACAGGAGGACACTGATGGCTTTATTAGCTGTAATTGTGCTTTTTGTTGTAAGATGCTGTAGCACATTATCAGCTGAAGGTAGATTAAATATTAAAAATTAAAAACAAAGTTAAATGTTTTGACTGATCTATTGTTAACTGACATTATGATACTGTTACACCTCTGGGTGTGTGGGCCTTGCAGTTGCTGTGCTTGGAAAGTCAACAGTTGCTCTACTGCAGACAGTTATGTTTTTTTTTTTTGGTGAAAGCAACAAGTGTATGATCAACCTTCAGTTTTGTTTTATACCTAGAGCCCTTGTCCTCTAATGAAACCAATAGTATAGACACCACTTATGGCTTTGTAGCCTGTGTGATTTCGGTGCTGTTGTATGGAAGTTACTTCATTCCTGTTAAAACAATTGATACCAGTGATGGTGAGTTTAACCTTTATCCTCCAAACCAACATTTGAACAACTATAAAAAGCATAAATTAAAGCATATATGTGTGAGTGAATAAACATGTTTAATATGTACAGATGTTATTTAAAACAGATTTACCTCTCAGGAAATATAACAGCTGTCCCAGTTGTGAAGTTTATTGGCCTCGGACTTGGAATTTTGCTTTGGGGATCCAGTGGATTGCTAATTGGATGGGCAAGCTCAAGGTAACCCGGACTGATGTTTGACAGAAAGGGCTTTAACTAGGGATGAATTGAATTTTCTGATGTAAAACTTTGGAACATGGATTTCCATGCTGGCCCAGGCTAGTTGCTGACATGAGCATCTGGAAAATATTGAGAACGTTTGCTTGATGCAGCTTAAGTCATTGCTAAATATGTAATGTTAAGCAGTTTATGTCAGATAAAAGATCATTTTGACTTGAGTTTAGTTTTTAATATTAGTTGAGCTTCTTTTTAACTTTAGCTCATCTGTAATATCAAGTAACAAGTTCTGTGATCTGAATGTTTATTTGAAATGTCTTTTTCTCAGAAGTATTGTGCTGCATTGGTTTAATGCACTTTTTTTTTTTAATCTTTCTTTATAACACTTTAGATTGAGGTTCCATTTGTCAACATTAGTTAACTACTTTTGGACTAACAACATAAAGTACTTCTAAAGCATTTATTAATCTTAATCTTACTAATACATGATTAAAATCCAAAGTTGTTAATATTTATTATTATTGGACCTGAGCTCACATAAACTAACAATAAACAGTTGCATTTTTATTAACTTACATTAACAAAGATTAATAATGTAACTGACGTATTGCTCAGTGTTGGTTAATATAATGGGACCTTTATTGTAAAGTGTTATCCATGTTTTTAATTAAAGGCAGAGGTAAATTTACCTCTTAATTCATTCCTTTCGAAGTTTGGCTGGTTTGGTCTGCATCCAGAGGAAGTATCCAAGCCGATACTCAATTATTGTGGAGCTGGTCTTTGTCTGCTAAGGTAATCAGAGAGCAGACAATGTGATATCCTTAAGCATCAGTTGTGTGCGTAGTATTTGGAGGTAGACCATTAAGAGGATGTTTCATTGGTTAATGAAGGTTGAAATTTTACAAAGTAATGTTGTGGTCATTCAATAAAGAAGGTGCTTTTAAGTCCACAAAAGGAGGGCCGAAACCCACACCAGTGGAAAGGAAATGCTGCAGGCACACTGCTTTAGACTGTATTTCCATCCTGAACATATTTCTAGTTCACTTAGGAGTTACACCTCACAGAGATCCTTTTGAGATCAAAGAGCTGCTGTCTTGCTCGCCTAAAAGTTTCTCTGAAATTGAAAATGCAATATACTGCATAAGGCGGGATAAATCTCCTCCTAAGACCTGAAGTCACATTGTATTGGATCCACAGTTCTATCTGATTTTATGGGATATGGGAATAAAAACATCCTTAGCTTTTATTTATTGTGAGAGAGAACCCTTTGGATCAGCATTTATGTAACACAATCATGTCTTTGTTTCAGTGCCATCATATTCTTCTTTGTGAAAAGTGATGTTCAGAAACGTACATCTACTGAATCCATGCCTTTGTTGATTGATGATAGGGTATAAGTTTGTTAGGGCTTTTCCACATTGAGAGCTTTTTGGACGTTATGCAGAATATTGCTTTGTGTATTTTATCTTAGATACACAAGTCTTTGCTGAGATTTTGTGTGTACGTGAATTCACACGTCTGTCTTTAGAGGTTGAATCCAGACAGCGCAAGCCCCAGTGATTCATGGGTGGACACAATTTCACCAAAGAGCAAGAGAGCGCTGTAAGTATTTGTAGGCCCTCCAAGTTCCATTCTTTTTGCAGTTTTTCTACTTGTAGTTCATCAACACTGTACTGGAAAATCTGAATTTGATGGCTTCTACGCTAAAATATTCTTGCACTTGTTTGTGTTTTTTTTTTCCTAATGCATTTTTAAGTTATTTTTATATTACATTTTTGAATTTACATCTATGGTCTTTTCAACTTTAGATTCTAGTATTGTGAAATCTCTGGACAATAAAGATCAAATCTATGGAATATGTATTTTCCATGATATCCTCTTGTTACAGTGGCTGCATCTTGGCCATATTTTCAGGTGTCCTTTATGGTTCTTCTTTTGTGCCCGCTTTATATTAGTATAATATTTATATTATATTAAAGTCCATGCCACAACCAATTCTAGTATGTTCACTGGATCCAGTCAGAATGGTATGTGTGTAAGCATGATTAAACAGTTATGTTAAAAAGCATTTAATGGGCTATTCTAACATGTTTTGCCATCCATTACAGAAATTGACTACTGCTTTGCCCATTACAGTGGTATTTTCCTCAAGAGCACAGTGTATTTTCTTGCTTACTGTGCAGTCATGAAGAACAGGCCTCGGATTTATCCCAGAGCCATCTTACCTGGTAATTAATTTTGCTTTCCATTGCATCATCTTTATCTTAACTTAAATGAAAGTACCATGTTGCTTTGTAATTCCACCACAGTTGTTACTATATTGAGTTACATGTATACAGTGTACATTTAACCACTGACCACTATAAATGTGCGATATAAAATATTCCCCCCGACATTCTATTACCTTTCTGCTCAATATTGTGTTCCTGTGTTCCTCATGTAAGATCTTCCGTGCAGGTTTTTTGAGTGGCCTGATGTGGGGATTAGCCACATATGTCTGGCTTATGGCAAATTACTACCTTAGTGCAGTGATCACATTCCCTATAATTAATGCTGTAAGTATCATGCAAAAAAAAATAAAAATCTTTCATGTTCTTTTTCACCTTGCATTGCAAATCGTATGTAATGATCGTATGTAATGTGTTCTATTTTGCTTTCAGGGTTTTGGCTTAGTAGCTGCTCTGTGGGGAAGTGTGGTATTTAAAGAGGTCAAAGTAGGTAACATAAAGCTATTTGTATTCATTCAGTGTTTCGGAGGGCATTTTGACATGACCTAGCTTGACACTTTTTTCCAGTTGAATAGGAGTATTTATGTGTTGATAGAACAGTTTGTATAATGTATTGGAACTATTGCTATTATTTTGCTGTTGATTCATTACCTGTAATAATAATGGAATAAAGCAGAATCAACTTCTGTTTAGGCCATCCTAACAAACTGATTTTATTTATTTAGGGACTTGGGAACTTGCTGCTGTTTGCTTTGGCATCTTGTGTTGTCCTGGCAGGCTCCCTGTTAACTGCCTGTTCAAAGATCTGAGTCTGTATGTTATGTTACCACAAGGTGGCAATGGTGGATCAAGCTTTAAAACAATGTTCCTGCCAAACTTTGCAGTCACTGAACAGTCTTATCACTTGCATAAGGCCTCTGCTGCTTAGTAGCCCTTGATGTAATTTGCACGTTTCTTGCTCTAGCATTTTAACTGCTGTCAAAATGAATTCTAGGTGTTGTGCAAGCTCACGTGTATTTGAATTAAAACGTTTTCCCTCTCTGGCTAGGCTAAGTATACAGCTTTGTGATTATATTTGTTGTATTTATTTAACTGAGTCTGAGGCTTTTCATGAGGGTCCCCATATTTTCTGACCAGTGAATTGTCATGACAGACTGACAAAGACTTGACAAGCACTTTTATGTGAATATAGTGTAGAGTACAGTCTAAAGCTCTACAGTTTGAAATAATACGTTCCTGATGTACTTAAATGACTACATAGTTTGTAGTGGTGTTGTGCCTGTATTTACACCAGTAAATTCAAGTACAGAACATGTCAAAACAACATTGTTTACAGGCAGGTGTGCACAGGCAAATTCTTCTTGGTGGAATATGCTATTGTAATTCATTTTAAGGTCTTCCTGACAGACCTGAGTGTTCCTGTTTTTGTAATTTATCAGCAACTGTTATAAAAAATAAATAATAAAATAAACCAGCCTAAGACAGTTAGCTGAATTAAGAGGGTCTCCCAGCTGGGCCAAGCTAGTGGTCAGATGGTTTAGGTCAGACATGCGCTTACAGTGAGACCAGCAGAAAAGTGTCTAAAACCCTTCTGAAACTTGTTTTCCAGCAAGAGTAGTGCAACTTGAGAAGCTCTCACCCCACTAAGAAAATAAACATAAAACATATACAACATAAATCAGCCTTATGTGGTTTGCTGGTCTTATAGCTGGTTTTTCTCAGCAGGGCTAGCTAAATAATGAAAAATATATATTACGTGGAAAAGGTGACTATTAGTTCTGTGTAGTTTGCAATTACAGCGTTCTAGTCTCTCGCGTTTGCACTGTAGATGGGGCGTAAGGACAAGCGACATTCTTTCTCATTTGGGACTGTTATCTCAGCTGATCCGGCTTCGGGACAGTTGTCTCATTCATGCTGGAGCGGTAGCGCTGAGCGGATCATCTGGAGCTCCTGTGTGCCATCAACACGAAAACGAAACGAACACTATTCCAACGTGGATAACAGAAAATCGACTTAATCATGCGCAGACACTCGTACCAATGGATACGCATTCGACGCGTCCTGGAAATGTAGGGGACACTTTGATTTATTTGTCCGTGTCGTTTTTGAAAGTCTGCAACTGTTGGAAATATTCTGCTGTTAGGAAGTATTTGATTGTTGCTGTTGTGTGTTTTGTTTATTTGTTTTTCACCGTTCATGTCAGTCGTGCGTCTACTCGCCAGGACAAACGTCCTGATCTGTGGACTGGAAATAGCGTTCATTCTCAGAGTAAAACTGGCCAGGACCCCGCTGATGGGGAGGTGAATGAATCTGTGAGCACGACCAGGTCTAATGTGGTGTATATAACGCTCAAATTTAAGCGACACAAACCGGCCATCATCAGGGGCACAGTGCGACCCAAACTCCGGAGAAAGAAAGTTAAAGTGAGACAGCAGGGTAAAGCGAAGGACGCGGGACACAAAACCACCGGTAACACACGACTGGGATATTCTGAGCTTGATGGCAGTGACACTGGCTATTCATCCATAAGGATATACAGTGAAAGAGCTCCTCCATGGTTCAGCAATGACGATATCACTGCCATGCGCTTTCTATCCGATAGTAAAATTACGCAAATTGATGAAGTGGCACCTGGGGGCTTTTCTTCTTTAATTTTGTTTAAAAGTGCGACAAATAGCACGGACGATGTTGATGAGTGTCGTAAATGTTGCGGTATTGTCAAGCGACCCTTGGACATGAGTGAGGTGTTCGCCTTTCATCTGGACAGGATTTTGGGACTGAACAGAACTTTGCCAGCTGTCAGCAGACGATTCCACTCTCTTGGAGGTAGTGTACACTGTTTTAAAAAAATGTTGTAAATAAAACAAAAGAAAAATACTGTTTCAGCCTTTCTACTTCAGAAACTTAAAGTGTAATTCAGTGTTACTTGCCAGTTCTTTGCAATTATTTGTGAAATTTGCTAAAAATGTTTTGAGTGAAAATTGTTTCTACCCCATTTTTAGTGTAGCTATTTTTTCCTTTGCATTTGTATTTATTCAAACATAAACCTTTTATATTTATTTTTTGTCATTGTTTATATATGTTCTATTTTGTTTATATTTATTTTGATGTTTTATTGTTTTTAATTATTTTAATTGCAGACACTACATTGTATTTAACATTGGATTAAGTTAGTAAAGAATATAGTATTTGGATACATACATCACAGTTAAAAATTTATAATTGCATTAGATAAGAAAATATCAATATATTAAAATGTCAGTAAATACCAATTGGCATTATGACTGATGCTGACTTAGTGAATGTATACATATTCATCTTGTTTCAGATGGTCAGCCTTGTCCAGTGGTTTTGTGGGATCCTTCTTTAAGCCCAGTAGTAGATCAACCCTCTGAGAGGTTGAACTGGGGCTCATACCAAACCTCTCTCAAACACAAGTGCTGGCATCGGGGCGTCATACCTAAACCAGAGTGGAGCTGCACCAGCATCCACCATCACGAATGGAGCAAGCTTGTAGTCTTTGATTTCCTCCTGCAGGTACTCCACTATCATCTTTCTGCGTTGCTGTTCTGCGTAAACTGTAACTTTGTTGATAAGTAACATTTGTTCAGTAAAACATTTTGTTATTTTAATTTAAATCCTTAAAGCAAAAAGATTGTGTTTCTTCTCAGATTTATGAACGTCTAGATAAAAACTGCTGTGGATTCAAGCCTCGCCCAGAGGACACCTGTGTTGAGCTTGGTCACCATGAAGAATGTAGAGACAAGGACGTCATAGAGCTGACACACATAATCCACCGTAAACATGACCCACACCACCTGGTTTTCTTCAACAACAAGGGCTACTTTGACCGAGATGAGGGGAATCTGAACTTCAGGCTACTAGAGGGAATCAAAGAGTGAGTAAAATTAGCAGACCTATTTCACATGTTCAAATATGACCACTTGATCTTTCATTTGTGTCAAAAATGACAGAGATTTCGCAGAGATACTATGCAAATGTTCTTTTTAAAAACAGATCATTCACACATACTTGTATTCCCTTTCAATTAAAATGTCTTGCCAGTTGCAAAGATATAATTAATTGACAATTCAAGCTTACAAACTCTAAGAAATGAATCCTTACAGTTTGTTTGTTTGATTAAATTACAAGTCCACAGTTTATCGGGTTTACATAGATATTATGGTTTAAATAAATTATAATTTTGGGCGTCCTCTTTTCTCGCTCTTACTGGACAATCTGAGGTGGTTTGTAATTGCTGCAGGTAAGACTGCAACTAAGAATTAATTTCTGTGAGGCCACAAGTTTGGCCTTTCAGTAAGCCAACACCTCCACAACAGCACTGAAGACGTAAGCAAATACATACGCCAGCAATCTGACACGTGCTGTCTGAACTAAGGGATTCTGCTGGCAATGCTGCTAATGTGATACCTCTGGGAACGCAAGCTCACTTGTGCAATAACATAAGAAAAAAATGATGGGCCATTGCTGTGTTTGAGTATCACTGATTGCACGTTATCTGCATTACAGCTGGGTATTACATAATATGTCTTTTAGCAATACAATTTAGTTTAAGGGGGTTGTTAAAACAGTATATAAATGATATTTTATGTTGTACTTTTTTTTTTAAATGTGGTTATTTCCTCCAAACATAGTTTGTTTTAATAATTTTTGAGTGCATTACCATATTCCTTTAATACGTTTTCCCTTTCAGGCTACCAGATCAGTCTGTGTCAGTGTTGAGGTCTCAGCGTCTCAGGGAAAAGCTCCTGCAATCGCTATTTCTCGACCAGCAGTACTGGGACAGTCAGGGTGGCCGTCAAGGCATTGAAAAACTCATTGATGTGATTGAGAGAAGAGCCAAAGTCTTGCTCACATACATTAATGCCCATGGGATTAAAGTAGTACCTATGAACTCTTGACAAATGGAGCTTAACCTTTCAATGTGTAAGACGAACCACCATCCTTTTGGTTTCCAATGAGTGTTGATGTTTTCGACAACGAAGACCTGCTGAAATGAAGCTCTTTCAGTCAAAATTCTATGCACTACAGAATTTAAGAGAACATTGGGGTGTTGTAAGCGCTGCTCCCATTTAAGACAAGAAGAAATGATAGTTCTTCAAATGCTCTACCCAGAGTCCAGGGCTATTTTTTGGCATCACTGACATTCCACAAGTTAAAGGCACTGTAAGTGATATGATCTGTTTTGATAACTTCCACCAGCCTTAGCTTCTGAATTTGACTGCCTCTTATGTCCAAAATCCCGCCCAATGACATATCAGCAAACCTGATGTAAGCAATCCAAATGCTCAAACTGAGTCCTTTGGTTAGTTACACATTGATATCTAACAGCCAGTCTGTTTTAATGTTTACAGAGCTATACGTTTGTCACAGAGAGCAGTGCGATTTCTCAGGATACCTATTTTAGTTACACTATACATCAAAGAGTGTGTGCTATTCCATAAACACCACTAAAGCACTTTCAATTCCAATTTTATAATCAATGAATGTTCCTCTCAATAAGTAGTTTCAGTCAGTTATTAATTTCAACTAGTACAGATTTGTAACAATATTTCTGCTATAATCTGCACATACATATGTTTTGTCTGCTGTGATGAAGGTGTTCATGATGATGGCTCCAGCATCATTGTTAAATCTGGAAATGTTGCACTTGTGTACAAGTTGATCACCATGAAGATGATATGAATCTTCTTTCATATGAATGGCAGTATTCACTGTGCCCTCAGAAGTGTTTATTTTTGTACTATATTGTTTGCATTTGTAAAAATATACATATATAGAATTAAAG